GGATTCTTATTAGAGTTTGTAACGTGGTTTTCGGAGCTCTCGTAAGATGTATATAGGCATTGTTATGGTGGTTTTAAGGTTTCTAAGGTGGTTTAGGGGTTTCTGTTTTGCAATGGTCATTGGAGGATGACAATCCACTAGTGCACCAATTTCCCTGGCTGTATTCCCTATCCACGAGCCATAATGCCCCTCCTCACTTTCTTTGTTTTTCAGGGGGTAATACTTTCTCGAACTTTCACTTCTATAGAGAGTCAAATGACAGGGAAATCAATGAGCTCAGCTTGTTAGAATCCTTTTACTTACAGTTAGACAACAGAATATGAACTCTAGATCCCTCCCGAGTATATACTTGCAAATCCTTCTTCAATCACATACCAAATAATCAAATTGCTAACACAAGCCTTACGCCAAGGTACTTAGTAAAGCTCAAGTTCCTTTAAAGGTACAGGTGTTTGCAGGAACAGTAACTCTAAAAAGATTAAACACCAATTAATTGCTAGAAATTCATATGCCTAATCAAGATCTTTCACTAGAAATCTGTATTATGTGGACAGGGAGAAACACATAATCTCTCATTTTTCTGATTCAATGTGGCCTGGAAATTGTATACATATTTGTTTGATACATTTGGCTTGAATTGGATAGCATGTTCTTCTCTGGAGTGTTTTATGATCTCCAATATTTCTAGCATAGGTGTAAGGAAAGCTACATCTTTGGCAGGTTGTGCTTGCAGTGCTATGGACAATAGGGTTAAAAATCAAAGGATGTCCGAGGGAAAAGCCCTGTTTAATCCAATGGTTGTGGGGGAAGACGAGTTTCCGGTTTCTATATAGGCTAAGGACATAAAGACTAATAGATAGGTAGATACATTTATTTGGGTCGATTATGCTAAGTCATGATATCACTAGTGATGTGCATCTTGGGGATGTCATTGACACCTTAACTTCTATGTAAATACTTTTGTCATGGGGTGGTACCCTTGTTCCTTTGGTACCATGTTAATATATACTTCACACTTTTTATTTAAAAAAAAGACATAAAGAATTCTCCGACATTTCGATATCTATACTATATAGGAATTGGGGAGGATAGTATTGGTTTTTGGCGAGGTTGACTGTCACCTGAATAAGTAATGATTTTTTGTTCCGGGGGACTTGTTTTGTTAGGAGGCCACCTTATGCTCCACCATTGTATTTTTTCATTTTTCTCTTTTAATGATACTTCTTATTCTACCAAAAACGACAAAGTGGCACTAAAGTCTTTGTTATTTTCATGTTACTCTATAGTATCTGGTTTAGGTTTCTGTTTTAGAAGTTATTTAGGAATCTTTGACCATAAATTGGAATATAACACAGAGTAGGAAGTTTAATTAGGCTTTACTAGGATCAGGGAATGAGGAAGCAATTGTCATGGTCTTCCCATGCATAATTTAAGTTATTTCATCAATAAACAGAAGCTGAGGATTCCTGTGGGAAAAAAAAGATTTATTTTAAGTACCTAACTCTGAGAAATCATTTGTTTCTTCCCAACGGGCCCTAAACCCTAATTCAAAACCTAATTCAAAATAAATCATTCAGGGAGGAAATTTGCAAAATAAGCAGCCCACCTGGTTCAAGAATTTCAACCTTAGTTGACCCATAACCTGATCAAAACTCGGGACCATATCACGAATCCACTACAGTCTCATGATATTGCCTTTTCATATTGTTAATAATGTTATATAATATCTATTTTCACTCTTTTCTTCTCATTTCCTTTGAGAAAAGAATATATAATGTACAAAACAGCAAGGAATTACTTAAGTACAAAACCTAGTTACAAAGAAAAAGATCTACAAAGTCCAAAAGCTCTTCCTCCTTGGAAACTTGGTATCAATTGAGTCTAAAAATATCCTTAATGACCAAAAACAGACCTTCCCCATCAAAAGCTCCCCCATTTCCTCTTCTTGACTACCAAAATAATACTTTTTTATAAGTAAAAAAATCCTGGTCACAGATAATTTTTGCATGAATTAAATTTTAAAAACAATAATAGCATTTGATAAACAGAACTTCAAAACCCTATAGCTTTAGCCGGATAGATACATCAGCATCTCAATTCTTGGGGCCCTAAGGATCAAGTTCTATCATGTACAAGATGAAAATCTACTATTTTAAAGAATCTTTTTTTTGGATAGAAGAAGAATATATTAAGATCAGGAGAAGAAAATGCAACAAAGAAAATTACTGATAAAAAACGTACTTACTGGAGACTGAAGATGATTCACGACGTACTGAGGACCGGAATAATAAATAACCACAAACAACTGCTGAGCATAAGACAGCGCAAGTGCTTCCTCGCTCCTAAGCACCACTTTTGGAAGCTTTTCAATCAGCCTATTAAACAAAAAAGAAAAGCAAATAAATACTGAGCATTGAAAATGAGAAACAACTTAGGCCTAGAATTCTTTCCAAATTCAATTGAAGAACAAACCTGTTAAAGATCTTGGTCAAATCATTTTCTACATGGGATTCCCGACTCACAAAGGATAAATACTCAAGAAACTCCTGGGCAGCTAAAGAAACTTCATCAGAGTCATCAGCAACTAGGACACATAGGCATTCCTGCAGTACTAACAATTAGAGCATGTATCAAACCCAGTGAAGAGATTGGACAAAATATTAGCACTTCATGATAACTGCATCAAATAAAATAAGAACAAAGATTAACTTGGCAGAGTTTCATACAAAGAGTGAAGTAAGAGTATGGACATAAACAGAAGGAAGAGGAAGAGTCCTCTCAAACTTTTCAGGTGGGGAACCCTTTTCGTAATGCTTCCAAAACTAGGAAATAGCCATCTAATTTAATATCTAATCTATGTTCTTGTGTGTGTATAATAAAAAGAATAACTAATATCAATGGGTTTAAAAGTATATGTCCCTTTTAGGAAAAAAGATAACAGAAAATTTGTTAATAAGCACCAAGTGGGTGTGTCACCTATGTATTAAAGATTTGAAAAGAGTCTAGAGCCAACATAACTATAACATCTATAGAATCAACACTGAATAATAGAGAGGCCTCTGAACATAATATTTTTTTTAGAATAAAAAAGAATAGTAGATTACATGCACTAAGGGAATATAATCCATATAGAAAAAGTAAGAAGATGACCCTTAATAAAAAAAATCTAGTGTCTGAAGCCACAAATCTCTTTTTTTTTGGGAAATATATCTAAAACCTCACATCTTTAAACCTATATAACGAAGTTTCTGTACCTTCAAAAACCTTATATTTCTTTTCTTCAAAATGACCCATAAGGCAGCCACAGGGATAAGAGGAAAAATCTTTTTATAACACTTACCATCATGAGTGCCTCACCATGCATGTATCTCATTCTCTATAGAACCAGCCACTCCAAATTCGCCCCCAAAAAGCCACACAAATTAGTCTATAGTCAATAAAAAGGGAGACACCAACGAAGAAGATGATTTCCTGACTCTGGCTTCTCTTTTGGCAAAATACACTCAATTAACAATTATTTTCTCATTTAATCAGGTTGTCTAGAGTAAGAATACTTCCCCTAGTCAATTCCCAAATAAACAATTCTACAATAGGGAAGGCATTAATCTTCTAAATTATTTTTGTGGGAAATTCCCATTGCTCATATCAATCTTTTTTAAAAAAAATATAAAGCATAAAGTATATAGTGATATCAGCACTGAGTGCGTACCAACCCATATACAAGAATTTACAAGTCAATCAAAATATATTGCTCATTTCAATCTTAGCCAAATGAAAGTAAAATAATTTAACTTCAAAACAAAAACACCTTCTGAATCCAACTTCCAAAGTGGTGCATCCAAAGCCCCATGTGGGCTTTTACACTGAGAGAAACTCTAGGAGATTGATATATTCATTCAACTTCCAATCATTGAAACAATGTCAGCCCAAACTCCATTTCAAAGGCACAAGAGAAAAAATCTGCCACCATAGCCTCCTTACAATAAGCTAAAGAGCACTAACAGGTAGCTAAATCTTCAAAAGCACATAGGCATCTCTCTCTCCAGATAGCAAGAAGGAACAAAGAGGATTTTAGCGCTACAAAATAACTCCAGGCCCATATTTCGCTCCTAACTTAACCAAAGGCCACCTAGCTAAGTTCATCAAACTGAGAGCAGAATCCCTAACCTTCAATTTTTTAAAAACAAAATAAAAAGTGAAATTACATGCACCAAGGGGGTGCAAAACCCATTTATAAAAAAAATATATATATAACCTTCAAAATTTTAAACCATAGATGAATATTATAAGGGGTTTCGTTCACTTTTTGGCACAACGAAGGTGGTTGAGTGACAAGCTGCTAGTTCTTCAAGTAAGAGGTCTGGGTACAATAACTGAGAAACTAAGCTAAGGAGTCTTATACGGGAGTTTCAGAACATACTCTAACATTCACAACCACAGGATATAGCCACACAAATCCCATCTCTCCTTTTCCAGCACAAAAAGACCAAGGTCTTGTCGGTCATCAATTTTATTAGGATTTTACCAAGTGTTTTTTTTTCTCAAATAAAGGATTCTACCCAATTTTACCTCTCATGAAAACAAACCATTAAAAACCAATCTTCATCAATTTTTTGTTAGTCCCTTGATCATCAATTTTTTTAAGTCCCTTCATGCATTTTACACTTTTTTTATTTCAAAACAAAAAAAATTACGTCCCTATGAGGCAAAGGGGATGGGTTTGCTGAGTGGCATTCAGGTGGGAAGAGAAGGTAACCAGATTGAGATCTCACATTTGTTCCTTACAAATGACACTCTTATCTTCAGTCAACCAGATGTGGGGATGATACTGAATTTGAAATGCGTGTTATTATGTTTTCAGGTCGTCTCTGGACTAAATGTTAATATTTCTAAATTTGAGATTGTGGTTTTTGGAGACAGGATAAATGATGGTAGACTTACTGGGGTGCTAGGATGTAAATTAGCAAAATTGGCCAATAGATACCTTGGTATTCCTTTGGTTCAAAATATAAGGATGGGAGTATATGGGATTCCGACGATCGCTATGTTCGAGAGAAGATTGATTGTGTGGAAAAGAAATTTTTTGTCTAGGGGGCAAGCCCACGCTCATCAACAACATTCCGTCTAGCCTTCCAATTTATTAATTGTCTGTCTTAACTGTGCTAGTAAAGGTGGCAAAGAGGCTTAAAACATCCAACGCCGATTTTTTTGGGGTGATAAAGAAGGAAGAAGGAGATACCACTTGGTGAAGTGGAGTAATGTGAAATTACCTTATGAGAGGGGGGGTTTAGGAGTGAGGACCTTAATTGAGATGAACATGGCGCTCCAGAGGAAATGGATATGGAGATACTTGAATGAGGAGAATTACCTTTGGAGAAGGGTGGTGGAGGTTAGGTGGGGGTTGTGGGGGGAGGTGTGACGTCTAAGA